TGTTTCAGATTTAATTTCACCATTTAATTGCAAACAATAAGTATTTTCCAGAGATTTTTTGTCGTTAATCCTCACCTGAGGATATTTTTTCCATTGATCCCTAGAGTGAGTGGAAGGGAGGGAGGGGGGAACATGGATGTGCAATGTGAGAAAGACACATCAATTGACTGCTTGCCACACAGACCGGGGTGGGGATCCTGCAATCTAGGTTTGTGCCCTTGACCGGGAATCAAATCTGAGACCCCTTGGTCCATGGGCCGACGCGCTAATCACTGAGCAAAACTGGTCAGGGCTGTTCAGAGACTTCCTTGGCATTTCATCTCATCTCCATATTAACTTGGAGAAGCTGATCTTTACTCTCTTTCCCAAATCACTGGTTCATCTTCTACTCTTTCTCCCTTTAGGATTTGGTTTTCTTGGAGTAAATCTCTATGTCCAGGGTAAAATGAATACCCTGCATTTAAGGTTTGCTGCTGCTGTTAGCTGGGGGCGGGCAGCTTTAGCCAGGCGAGCTTTCCCTGGATCGTTGCTTCTAAGCAATTCTTTACAGTCCCGAGATCTTCAGTTTTCAGAACTTTAAAGTCACTTTTTTTAGTTTCAGGGCACACCAGTTTCCCTGTTACAGAACCATTTATTGTCTTAGAAACCTTATGAATAAATAGGTTTTGTATTTTCATTGTTTTGGTAATGGAGTCAAATGTCATGAAGCCTTTGCCTAAAGACCTCGCCTTTTGCCCAGCTGGGTGTGGCTCCGCCTTTGGATATCCACCCAGGAATCAAGAGGTCACCGGTTTGGCCCTAACCGGTTTGGCTCAGTGGACATAGCGTCGGCCTGCGGACCCAAGGGTCCCAGATTCAGTTCGAGTCAAGGGCATGTACCTTGGTTGCAGGCACATCCCCAGTAGGGAGTGTGCAGGAGGCAGCTAATCAATGTTTCCCACTCATTGATGCTTCTAACTCTCTATTCCTCTCCCTTCCTCTCTGTAAAAAATCAATAAAATATATTTTTTAAAAAATTTATTTTTACAGATGAATAAAGTGTGGCTCAAAGAGGTAAATAAACTGACCTAAAGCCACACAGCCTTTTTAAAAAAGTGATCACCGGTTTGATTCCTGGTCAGAGCATATGCCCAGGTTGCTCCAGGCTGTGGGCTTAATCCCCAGTAGGGGGTGTGCAGAAGGCAGCCAATGATGATTCTCTCTCATCATTGATGTTTCTATCTCTCCCTCTCCCTTCCTCTCTAAAATCAATAAAAAATATTTTTTTAAAAAGGACCTCACCCTTTAAGTGCCCAGAGTGAAACTAGAAGTAGAGATCTAGAGTAATCTAGTATTATAAGAAATAGTACCCTTGTCATTGTTGAAAAGGAATAGTGCTATGTTATGCTTCAATTTACTTTTAAATTGCATGGGTAGGAGACACACCCCAGCACCTGTGAAGACCATGCTGCAGAGGCCAACCCAAATCAGGTGTGTTGGGGGGAGAGCAAGCTGTGGTACCTACTGGGCGGAGCACAGGTGCCGTGGGAATTCCACTTAGCTCTGGAGCAGCAGTTCTCAACCTGTGGGTCGCGACCCCTTTCACAGGGGTCGCCTAGGACCATCCTGCATAGCAGGTATTTACATGACGATTCATAACAGTAGCAGCATTACAGTTATGAAGTGGCAACGAAAATAATTTTATGGTTGGGTCACAACATGAGGAACTGTATTTAAAGGGCCTGAAGGTTGAGAAGCACTGCTTAGAGGGCGAGCCCACTGGGATGGGTAGTTTGGGAAAGTACCTAGGAGTCATTTCTCTTAGATGCACTGCTCTCCCAACAAGGGCAGAGCTGACCAATACTATGGAATGGGCCAGAGGGACTCCTGACCAAATAGGTTCCGTCAGCTTTGGAGGCAGCTCTTCCCAGCTCAGCACAGGGAGGGCAAGGGGCTGCCTTGATGCCGAGCACCTACAGCACACCAAGCTGTGTCCTGAGCTCCCCGCACAGGCTCTGACACCTCACAGACACGGGAGCCTCTAACTGACCGGGGACGAGGCGCATGTTCAACCCAGGCTCCCAGAGCCGAGTGGGGAGCCAAGGCTCTTCACAAGCTGACCCCTAAGCTTGCGCTGCTCTTACTCAGGTTTCCCCACGAGTCACTTGTATGGAAATGAAGCTGTCCAACCAGTGGCTTCTCCGGAAAGGCTGGCTCTTCTGGCAAGGCCTTCCTCCGGCACCTTTTTTTGGCCATTTGTCTCTCTACCTTCTCTATTGACCAGACTGTAAAGAAGCAGGAAATGTCACTCCAAGACAGACTGAACTGGCCAGGGCACGGACTGGTATTTATTTGTAAGCAGCCAATGGCCAGCTGCTTTTCAGAGTTATCCTTAGTGGGCAATGTGTTAACTTGGCTTTATTTCTTTATGCTCACATTTTTAAAAGTCCACACAAACAAAACAAAACAGCTCCATAAAAAAGATTAGTTACCTGCCCACATTTATTCAGGAAGTGAGTTACCCTGAAACAGTGCTTCAAACCGCGAGGCACCCCAGGCTTTTGTTCTGCCGTGTGCGGGCGCTGCCCGAGTCCTGCACTCCCACGCAGGCAGCCTGTTTATTAAGGTGTCATTCTGGTTGGCACAACATGGTGGTCACATCTCAGCCGGCTTTATTTTTACTTGGGCAGTGGCCAGAGAATGCAGGTACTTCATCAATCAGGCGGCGTGCTGGGGTCCTAGGCCAAGGTCTGAGTGCTGTGCTGTCCGTGGTCAAGCCCCCCCTGGAGTCTGGGTTACATGCACGAAAGCCTTCGAGATCCCCACCTGTCCCCAGTCAGGCAGCAAACAGCTCCACTAATGACAGAATTTCCTCCCCTTCCTCCAGAATCTTCTGAGGAGGATGAAAACAGAAACTAAATCCAGACGAGGATGCTGGAAAGAGATACTGATACACAAAGGCAAAACCATGAGGCAGGGGGGAAGCGAAATGAGAGGTAAAGACAGGAGGTTAAACTATGTGGTCACAGACAACTGAGAAAGCTGCTAAGAGACACACCATATAAAAACAAAACCCACCCAGCTCCCTTCCTCCACAAGGTATTGTAATGCAGCAAACCTGTGACACTCTTGTAGTAAGTACTGTTAGTATTCAGTACTTTAACAGTCATGGGGCATTCATATGCTTTTGCATAAATCAAAAAGAAACATAGCAATCAACCTACTGGCAAAATCAGGATGAAAAGTCCAATTTTTCCACAAAATACAGAAAGTTTCAGATTAAGTGGACAATAAATGTTTGCAGCCCTGTATAGAGCTTTAGTTGCCAAATGAAAAACAAAAAATAATCCTGACACAGGATGTTCCAAAAGCCTAATTCATGAAAAAGAGACAATTTATTCTATGTTTAATAAAATGTTTATTAAGGTGGTAACACAAGATAAATCATGCAGGAGCTCAGTAAAAACAAAAACTTAATATAAGGAATGGTAATTGGTGCTGCCAATTTAAAAATATGTCAATAATTTTACTACCCAAAGTGATTTGAAGAAGTTGGAATCTGAGCATGGACATGGTTGCAGCAATCTTGCGGACTGTAAACTAAAGTGATAGGAGACTCCTTGTGTTCTAGTCCTCAGAGGAGTCAAGTCATAGATCCAAAATCATCAGCAATGTCCCTCGCATCCTGCACTCAGATGGTAGCCCAGAACCCCTGCCCACCGAGTCCTTCGACACCCAGGGACAGTCTCAAACCGACACTTCTTAGCAGGGGAGGGGAGCAGGCACCTTTGGTGACTCTCAAATGAGACTCCGTCCACATTCAGAATCTTAACATCTGTGGTGATGAAAACCATAGACTTGCATGTCATCCTTACCAGCCTTAAATGTAGTGTTGTGATGTCCAAGGGAGGGTTTTCATATCCGGTGGAAGAAATTTGAACAGATACACCAAATTGAACATAGTGTCTCAGATTTCAAACAAATATGACTCATCTTTTGGCAAAAAATAAATATAGTGGAATGCAAGTTTGATAGATGAAAAGAATATATAATCTACCAACTGTCAAGGAGTACGATTTCATTGCAGACACAAAGAATCAAAAGTTTCAAAGAATTTTTTAAAAAAAGTTTGCACTATTTCTCACAAAATCTTCACTTTTGGAACTACCCCAATAGAAGCTACACACTGAATTTATTAATACAGCATTAAGTTTCTTTGTGTAAAAAAATCTTTGTACAGAGTAATAAAAAAAGATAAGGCAAGATGCATTAAACAGAAACCTTCTGGTTCTTCCAGAGCCACTGATGACTATCTGCAACGAGAGTGAAGTTTCTGATTTTCCGTGCGAGCATCTTGTGCCTTTGCTGTGGTAAGGATTCTGTCCGCCCCTGAAGCACAGGTGCTGGTGATGGTCTGTGGCACTTACGCTGGCAGACTGAGCTTCTTTCCCTTGAGCACTGGAATTGAGAGAGGAAACAAGATTACTGGCACTGACATGCTTGCGCTTTCCTTCCTCCCCTTCCCAGAGGTCAAGATACCACATAATCAGGTTCAAGGAAATAGGCTTTTGGCAACCAACAGGCATTGGATTTTGGTGTCAATAAACAAAGCCCGCTCGACTATGAAAATGTCATGCACACATATACTGGAATTTTCATGTACCTGGATGCCATAGCAATGACAGTTAAGAAATACAAACCTGACTGAAATTGTTGCTACATTCACAGCAGTTGTTATCATGACTTTCTTCCCTAACAACATACATACATTAAGATGTAACTGTCACTATGCCTATAATATTTGGACGTTAAAAAAGGGATAAGCCTGGCCGGTGTGGTTCAGTGGTTGAAGTCAAGCCAGGAAACTGAACTCACGGTTTGATCCCTGATCAAGATACATGCCCGGGTTGAGGACTAATCCCCAGTACGGGGGGCCTGCCAGAGGCAGCCAATCAATGGCTGATGTGCACTGATGTTTCTCTCTCTCTCCTCTTCCCTTCATCTCTCTCTAAAATAAAAAAAAAAAACATATTTAACAAAAAAGGGGGGATAAGATTCATATGCCCTAGTATCAGCAATAACACCACCATTAGGAACTTACTGTATAGTAACAGTTCTTAGCCTGGGGTCTACAGCTGGGTTCAGAGGCTCCTGAACCCCCTAAAACTATATGCATAAATATGCATACGCATTTTTTTCCTGAGCAAGGACGATAGCTTTCACCTGAGTTTTGTGAAGTTCACATTCCTCCATTCACATAAATGTAAAAATGTACATATGTAAGGATGCTGACTTAAGCACTGGATTTTAATAGCAGCAAAATAGCAGTGATAGTGTGAATATCCATGAACTGGCTGAGTAAGGAAATTATGGTAATACACATAATGTTGAAAATCACATAGATTCTATTTACTGACATGAACAACTGTGAATGGGGAAAAGGCAGATTAGGTGTAGTTAGCCATGTATCTGTGTATATGCACAGAGAGATCTGGAATTCCATTTACTGAAACAGTAACAAAGATTTCCGAGTGGTAGGATTTCGGGCGACTGTTTTCAGAATTATTAGTTCTGACTGAATTTTTGACAATGAAAATATGCCATTGTAAAAAGTACAGCTACAGCCCAAAGAAGAAAGACTCAAAATCGGATCCAGAATGGAACTGGACAGTCCGTTAAATGCCTTTCCGCAGCCAGTTCCTGCTCATCAAGCTAGTGCCAGAGCAAAAGCGTGCGGCTCGGGGCCCTGAAGGGACAGGCAGGCCCAGCGGCGTACCTTTTGTGATGTACAAGTAGAAGAAGTCGCAGTAGAGGATGGTCTGGACAACGCCGGCCACCACAGCGATGAGGTCAAAGAAGCCCTCAAAGTAGAAGCGCCAGATCCAGTTGACGAGATAGAGCGCCCGGTAGAGGCCCAGGAAGAACAGGTAGTGGGTGGTGATGGTCTCCGCCTCCCCGGTCTTGCTGATCATGAAGAGCTGCGGAAGGATGGCCACGGACTCCAGGTAGATGGAGAAGGTCCACAGAATCTGCGAGGGAAGCACAGGCTCTCAGCACTGGCGCCCGCCACGGGGTCACAGGAAACACCTGGCTTCCCTGTGAAGCGCACAGGAAGCGGGGAGTCTGGCGCCTGAGCCCAGGACAGAGCAGCTGAGCAATTTCCTAAGTCACAGACGCTCCCAATGACACGCTGGGTCACCCTGGACACCTCTACCTCTTTGAATGCTCATCACCTCGTCTCTCCAGCGTCGCATTCTTCCCTGTACAAATCACCGTGAATCATCACAGAGGATGTTTCTCCTGGGTAAGCTTGTCCCGAGTCAACACTGCTTTCTGCCAGGGTGGACCACACTGATAACCAGGCCCCTTCCATTCCCTCACTGCCAATGTTCCTCCCCAACTGGTCTCCTTTCCAGACTATCCAACGAGTCTATTTTTCTTTTCTTTTTTAAAAAAATATATTCTATTGATTTTTCACAGAGAGGAAGAGAGAGGAATAGAGAGTTAGAAACATCAATGAGAGAGAAACATCGATCAGCTACCTCCTGCACACCCCCCACTGGGGATGTGCCCGCAACCCAGGCACATGCCCTTGACTGGAATCGAACCCGGGACCCTGAGTCCACAGGCCGACGCTCCATCAACTGAGCCAAACCGATCAAGGCTATTTTTCTTAATTTGTAGGCTTTTTGGTGGGGTTACACCAAAGGAGGAAAGAAATGGAGTTGTTATTATGCAAACTCTGCCCAACATGGTACTTGACTCATGCTGACGGCAGGAGGACTCGGGAGCAGTCCTTGGAGTGATCACAAGCCCAGGCCTCCCGCACCCACCAGAGAACCAGGAGCAGCGCAGTAACTGAATCCCAGGTGCTGAGGGAAGGACTCGGCACTGAGGGGCAGCCACACCTCACAGTGCCAGGGCACCATGCACACCACTTCTAAAGTTGAGGAGCATAGCAGCAGTGCTGCTTAGGGGCCACAGACAGAATCGACATGTACATTAAGGGGAAACAAAGCTGGCTAGTGTCGGGAGAAGATCCTGTTCAGCAAACACGCAGACAGGCAGAGCACCGTGTCTGGTGCCACAGCAGCCGAGTTCATGTTCTAAAGGGGTCAGGCAATAACCTGTCAGCTGACACCCAACTACCTGGGGCTTAACTTCTGCCCACCATTTATGTACACCAAATAGTTTCTGTTGCACCAGAAGCTTGCCAAACTGAAAAAGCACACCAAAACAAAGCAGCCCCACATTATCTACTACACACAGGCCTATTTCCCTCGGGAGCCAGACGTGTGCACTAAATAACCTCTTAACTAACCTCAAGAGGAGAGAAATCATGATTGACTAGAAACGAGAGTCCTCCCACAGGGACCACCAGAAACTCCACTCGGAAGGTATCATGGTTTCCGTCGTAAGTTGCCTTAAACTTCATGTAGATCAGGTACACTGTGGCGTAGGAGCAGGCAATGTAGATGACCTAAACCAAAAGAAAAACACCAGGTCATCAATGCTTCCAACTCCCTTGGTTTTCTACGTCATTCATACACACACACACACACACACACACACACACACACACACACACACTCTAGAGGCAGGGTGCATGAAATTCGTCCATGGTGGGGGGCATGTCCCTCAGCCCAGCCTGTGCCCTCAGGGGATGCTGGCAGACCGACATCCCTCACAATCCGGACGCTGCATGCACCAGTGACCATACTTTTCATACAGGTGAAAGGCATCTTGCTGTTGTATGGACAGCTACACTTTTTTGCCCTGATTATAAAAAGTAGTACATAACATGATCCTTCTGAGGCAGCAGTACCATTTTCCCCATCTTATGGGTGGAAAAACTGAAGCAGAGAGAAGTTTGGGTTTGTCACACAGTTATAAGTCTCAGAATCAGGGCTGACCACAAAATGTGCAAGCCAGAGTCCATGCATGTCTTCGCTGCATCATCCTGTTTTTTCAGTGTAAGAGTAGCCTTGCC